TTGAAATCCAGAGTAAAGTTTTGCGGTGACCCGGGACATGACTTTTGATTGCACATTATGCCAAGCGCCAGAACACGGTTCCAGAGCTTTTCACAATTTCCTAAATGCAGCAGATTTCGATGAACATGATCATCATTTTTTTCCCCCTCCAATGATAAATAGAGCCTGAACTACGGAGGAAAACGTCTGATAAATGGTGATGGAAACTGCACCAATATCTTCCTGGTAACAAACGTTGATGACTTCTAAAAATCAAAGCGAGAAGCACACTCATGGGCTTTCCCGTGCTGGCTTCAGCTCTCGAAGCTGACTTCGCGTTCAAGATATTGAAGATTTAAAATTACTGACGAAATAAATAAAACGGAGAAGTAGGATGCAACGAAGTGCTGTATTCCTGTACCGCACTCAAGTGGAATTAATTGCATGCGCTGGTATACCGATGTTGTAGAGGAGCGACAGGGCACCCAGAAGGGTTCTTTGTACGCATCTTGGTACTAGTATACAAATTATGTTTCGGGTCCTAAAAAAATATGATTTTGCCTCCTCTTCGCGTCATACGTCTTTCATGAACGTTATCAGATCATGCCCAAAAGTGACAATGCTCTTAACTCCCTGGCCTTCCACAGTCTTGTTTGTACGGTGACCGCGGAAGGTGTCGATGTTCTCATTGCTGTCTATCCCGGTAGTTGTAGTGTCACATGTCACATCGAGAACTACACGTAAAACGCTTTCCTAGATCAACCTTGTCAAGCCTGACCTTCTATCCTTAATTATATCATTGAGGTCCACCGAGTCTGCTCACAGACGTTGATATGGAGTAAAATTGTGTTTGACGCGAAATTTTGATGAAGTTCTGGAATGAAAACGTATATATTTTTGTCTAGGACAACGAAGTGGTAGCATAAGAATTATTGTTTGGTGATTATTTGAAATGTAGGTAGTGTATCTTGAATGCAATCGGAAAAATACTATATATGCCCAACATAAATGCTAGTCTGGATTTCTTAAGTTGGTCCAACATGAAGTACAGTCATTGCAAGAAAACAACGCTACTTCTACATTGTTAGCCTTGCCTATCTTTTTGGCATGGAGTCGATATTAGGAGGCTGCAATTGTATCTTCGTGTAGAAACCCGGGAGCCCAACGACATGCTGTAACAGCGCCAAGTACGAGTCTAGGAGAAACATGCAACTTATCCCCATGCGCATCAATTGTTTCTATTTGCATAGCCTGTGTGTCTGGCGTCGGACGTCTACGCGCACAATGCAGGACATTTGTATTTTCCACTTCTCAAAACTAGCATGCATTCTATAGCTTACTATGCGCCTCATTTACGTGATTTATTATGTGCAATTGGACCTTTGACCCTGGTTCTACGTTGTTTACTCGAGACAATCTGAGTAACATGATATTTTGATGGTACAATAGAATACGCCCCCACTGGTCATATCAGGTAGGAGAGGTTTTACCGCAATAGCTATTTACTGTCAATAAATTTTGAGACTGCTTTCTAAACTTCAAAAAAGGCGTTTTGTCCGTCATCATGAACTCGCTAAGTTAGTTTCATAGCTGATGATGATACTTCCTTGCATTTATACAACACAGAGCTGTTCCTGGAGAAAGAATGGTCGGTGAGTCAATATTAGTTTTTAGTTCGTTAGTCCCGACAACCTACCCTACTAAGTACGCGCTAGTTAGAGCTATTAATCGTTCCTAACGAAATTCGACAACGCGTACATCAACAACTGAGTTTATGGCGGATTTTT